AAAAGGAATATACAAACAAAACAACCCCTACAAAATAAATAAGAATTATAAAGCTTTTTTTAAGTAACCTTAACAATTATCAAACTAGTAAGTTCTGCCTTATCACATAGACTCTCTATACAACATAACCCTAAAGATTTATTACTATGAGGTATTTGGAGGAATTGGTAAAAGCGATGCACGGCCTGTCTGGGCTGAGGGACTCAAGCTGCTTTCGGGGAAAGAAGAGGGAACCTTTGGTTTGTCAGCAAGAAAGTGGAAAAAAACATTTTCCTTTGGTATCAAAGAAAGTTTCATTGCATGGTTGCACGGCAAAAAGCACCACGGTGAAGAATTATTCCTTTTTTCATTAGTGGCCTTTCTAACAGGCTGAGGTATTCAAAGAGTATAAGGTGAGAGATAAAGAGGTCAACAGCGGTTTAACACTTTGGTTCAAGCAAGGCACTCGTCCTATGAGTTTACAAAGTTTGCAACATGTTTGCCTAGAGCTTTATTATTATTATTATCCTTATCATCGTCAGTAGTAGCAGTTGTAGCAAGAGAAGTATTCGTAAGGTTATTAGCATTACCATTAAGAATGAAGACACGGTTACACACTGAGTGAAGGTGAGGAAGGGGGTCGGGGGGACGGGGGTAAGAAGGAGGATGAGTTCCCTTTCCAGACCGAGGCCGTGCATGAAAAATCTTTGGTATTCTTTGGTATCATCAATGTGATTAAAATCACCAATGGAAATCGAGTGAGGTAGCGTCTTTGGTTCACACTATAAATAGTAGATCTTTACACACTTTTTTTTTCTTTTTTTTTCTTTTTTTTTTAACACGTGGAAGTAGCTATTCCTTACCTTTTGCTTCTTTGTCTTTAGCAAATAGTTACCAAATGTATTGTAAAGCTAACCACACCACAATAATAAACCAGGAGGCTAAGCAAAGTCTCAAAATTAGCCCCTGGGCCTTTGAATGCACCCAAACGCAGCGAGATAGAAAAGGGTAAGTGCTTTCTCTTTGTTTGCTAAATGCATAGTTTTCATCCTTATGTACAAAGGAGGAGGAAGAGGAGGAGGATAGGAGGAAGAGTAGTAGAAAGAAGGACCGTTTTGGGGGGTAAAAATGTCTGGTTTACAACTCAGGTGAGGAGAGGTGTCCTAAGACTCTTTGGTATAAGCTCAGCGGTGTTTCCGAGCCGCCCCGGGCAGCGCCCGCCGCCACCGCGGCGTGTCCTGAAATCCCTCTCAGGAGAGGAGCGGTGCCCGCGGGCAGCCCTGGGGCACCGGGGCACCCCCGGCCACTCGGGCGGCTTGGGAATTTGCTTCTGGCAGCGGCTGGAGCAGGAGCAAGTTCTCAAGCGGAAGCCCCGTTGCCGGCTGGCTGCGGCCGGGTTTGCTCTACCTGAGTAAGGAGAGGAGGCTGAGGCCCCGGGAAAGCAACGCAGGGGCTAACGTAGTGGTACGGATTGGTATGAAGTGGTTTGTTTGGTTGGGGTTTTTTTTAATTTTTTCTTTTTTTTTTTTTCCTGGAAAGCTAATAATGCCATTTACAATGGGGATGGATGCGGACAGTTCACCTCTGGGCCAGCCTCCCCTCGTGGGTCACTGCGGTCAGGTTTGGATGCAGCCTATGAGCCGAATGCGCGTTCCTAACGCCCCCTCGCCCGCGAGTCACCTCGGACTGGAGCCCCATCTCCCAATGCTCCCAAATTATTTCAGGTTCTGCTCCCTCTCCTAACCCTTCCTGGCAGATTGTTTTAGGTCCTTTTCTTGAATTTGAAACTAATTTCCATTTTGTCAGGAATGAAGTGAACCGAAAGACTAACACGAATCCGACAGAGACAGGCTTTCCTGTGGGATGTTAAGCGCAGCATTGGAAAGAAGCTCCCTTTTAAGGATGCCCCACTAAGGGATGGCGATGATCTGCACCGGGGAGCACCAGGTAACCTGTCCCTGCTTCAGTCGGTGCGGCCGGGCAGTCTGCTCAGAGGTAAAATAGCTTTACAGGTAGAATGAGCAGTTCCATCGTTATTTGCTTCATGTTTTGAAAGGAACTAAAGAAAAGTGTGTTCTTTGCCTATTCAGAGTATGAGGCGCATATTGCTTATGGGAAGAGTGGTTTTGTTCCTAATGGCTTATAAAAAAAAACCCAAACACCCAACCCAAAAGGTTTATATATACTTAAACAGACATGTAAAAAACTCAAAATACTTAAAATCTATAACTTGTGCATCAGTTTTAGTGTGTGTGGACATATGTGTGTGCATGTATACATACATACACCCCATAAAAATGCGTGTGCGTGTACATATACACAGACCTATTCAGGGGCTTGTGTGTGTGTGTGTGTATCAGAGATCCTGAAATTGCATATTGGGTGCAAATTTAATGCTGGTATGAAAGTTCTCTTTGGTTTCAGCAAGTAGTCTCTAAAGACAATACAATGGAAATACTAAAAAATGCGGCAATGTACTTTGAATTTCCCTGCATTTTTAAATTCTCAAGTTTTAAATAAATAAGGCTTTCTTTTCTAAACTATAGGTACATTACAAAGCAGTGTTTTGCTGGAAAAAAACTAAAATGTTAGTTATCACTGTCCTTTATTAACCTTACACTAATGAGACTGCATTCATCAGATACTTTATGCATGATCTTATTAATGTTTCCATGTCAATTATGTCTCTGTGGGGATGGAACACTTTAAAAGAAAGCTCACTAAAATTGAAGGTAAGCTAGAGACTCGAAAAACTCGGATTAGATTACATTTTCATAGACAATTGCTTTGTCAGTCTTAAAGTGGGTTTAACATACGGAAATGTGGAGAAATATTCAGTGCCAAAAACCTTGGGTTTATTTCACTTTATTTTAATAAAGAGAGAGTTCAGCTGTAATCTAAACACTTACTGGAAATTAACTGTATAACCTGAACCTTTTCTAGACCCTGTCCTCTTGGGAAATAACTGGTGCTACAAAGTTGCTTAAATTGGGTGTTGCTAGGATTTTGAGTGGGCTTCATCCCAAAACCCAGTATCTGCTGCTATCGATGGTGGTTGGATTCTAGTTTACCTTGAATTTTCCTTTCTCTTTTTTTTTTCTTTTTTTTTTTAAAAAAAAGGTGTGAGTAAGATTGCCTATTTCTAATCCTTGCATTGGGCCTATACCTGCATATTGGGTTACTTTGGAATTTAATATACCTAGCAGAATTACTACAGTAATTTGAAACACCGGTTAGAAATCTAACAGGCACATGTACGGTTTTTAAAGTCTATTTTCCCCTTACGCTAAAATTTAATATGCAGATGTTGCACGCTTTTCTTTTTAATTTTATTGAAGGAGGAATGGGATGATTTCTCTTCTACGGGTCTGTTAGCAACAGAGCATTTAAAGCTTTTCAGCTACGAACTTTAAACTATTTCATGCATTATCCTGATTAATAGATGAGCAAGAAAGAATGCACAGGACAAAAGCTCAGCCTGCTACACACAGATACGACGCCACAAAACATCAGGCTGTATCGGTGTCATGGGAATTTTGCTATTGACTTCAGAGGCACCACGATTCGGCCTGCCAAAAGCACTACCAGCGCTCCTGTTGGAGCTCTTCCCACCAACATTAACTGATGTTGTACCACTGTTTTCAATAGGAAAAGACTGCGAGCCTTCAAAGCTATTGCTATTCCTTTGCCTAGTAAAGTCAATAGGTAAAAAAAAGCTCACTAATGTCAATGAGTATTGATCAGATGCTGAGCTCTGTGGTTTTACATTTCGCAGTTCTTTTCATTTTTGCATACAAAATGCCTCAGGTCTCCTGTTTGCAGGCTAGATGGCAGAGCTGAGCTACGTTTATATACAGCGCACGGTTTGCAAAGAGCGCTCTTCAACGGGCTGCCAGCAATACCAGCCTGCGAGAGAGTAATCAGGGGATGCCCGCGTGATAGTTACCACACCGTCGGACACATGGCTGTAACAGCCCCTTTGTTTTGCTCCTGTTGAAGTCAGCAACAGAAAGGTTGACTGACTTCAACGGAAGCTGCATCCCATTATCAGTACCTGTGCTCTGAGAGGGGCTGCGATCTCCTCAGATGATATTCTTTCTTGCCAATCATGGAAAGAAACAATAATGTGGTTGTACTAATTGCAAATAACAGTCTTGATTACAAGTTTTATGTGTTATACAGTTAGATTAGTTTATACCTATAACTCTACATAGTATTTTGTGTAAAAATAGCTTTGGAATATTAAAATCATTGCAATAAAATACCTGCAATATAATTATTAAATGTGTTCTTTGGTAGCTAGTCGATTTTTTTTTTATGGATGGAATAGTTTTCCTTTTTTTAAATCTGAACATTCCTTAACAAACAAAGAGAATGCACTGGTTTAGGTACCATTCAAAATTTCTTTGCCTAGTTTGAACTTGTTTCCAGGCGTTGCACCGGTTAAGTTCAAACCATGAAACAGCAAAAATCACACTACCGTTCAAATGAATTCAGACGACTCCACGCTTTGTCGGTCGTGCCGTGGCACAACCCTCTCTGAAGACCAGCCCTGACTAAGTCCCTAACCACCGGCGTGTACGCAGTACGGACACACTATACACCTTCGTGGCAATTGCTGTGGAAATGAAGAGCCATATCTGAAGAGATGTCTGTTCAATGACAAGAAACCACTATGCTCCAAACCACTAAACAGCCAAGTACGGTGAAGATGATCATGGGCGAAGGTGTAAGACCAGTGGTCTGTTTCTCTTCTCTTTGCACTCCGTTTCATCCCCTCCATTTTGCTTTCTTCTTCCTCTCTATTTTTTTGCAAGTCGTCGTCCTACTAAAGTGTGTGTCTTAGAACAAAGTCATAATGCAGGTGAAATAAGTCTTTGGTTTCTTTGGACTTATAAATAACATTTTTTTCAAATAGTTCTAAGTATAAACCTGCTATCTTGAGGTCCTGGTCTGTCTTTATTTATTTATTTATTTATTTTTAAAGCTTTTCCACCGAGGTTTAGTTCGTGGTTATTCCTTCATGCTTTGGTACAAGTGCTTGATGAAGAAGATGAGTTGCCTGAATTGGAGCTGCCCTCGTCTTGCCACTTATCCAGACTCCTCCTCCGTGCATTCATGAAAAAGTTGCTGACGGTGCTCAGCTCCAACCCGAGCTGCTGGGAAATGGTGATTTGTAATTCTTTGGACGGACGCTTATTTTCCTTGAATATTGCATGTAGAGTTCGACGCTGGACATCCGTGAAGACCAACCGAGGCTTTTTGGGTGTATTCCCTCTATCCTTCCCGTGCTCTTGTTCTTTCCTCTTGCACGCTGCAAGAAAAGGGAGGACGGTTAGAGAGGGCTGGCAGAGGAGCGCGCGGGCACGCAGTACAGGACAAACGAGGGAAAAAGGACCGTTCATGTCAGCCTCCAAATCTGGAGAGCATGTGTGACGCTTCATTTTCTAACTTATTATAAGCTACAAAAAATATAAGGAATAGAAGTTAGAAAACACCTTTGTCATTCTCTGTTAAAACTCAGCAAATGCTACTATTGAGACCTTACATTTTGATAACATCCATTAGTGCTGGGAATTTAACTATGTAATATCCCTACAAGGTAGAGTGGAAATTTACTGAGGTCTAAAGTCAACCTTGCCCTCCTTTTTACCTTCATTATTTGTTGTCAATCCATTTCTGCAGTTTTCCATTGGCTGAAAAATAAGGAACTGGGAGAAACAAGGATGCTACTAGAGCCTTACAGGCCAGATGATTATGTATTCTGAACAAAATAAACCATGTTTTGACATGAAGAACAATGGTATAGTAAATCTTCCTCATAGAATTTCACCTTATTTCATCTATCACCCCTTCTTTCCCTTTCTGAATGTCATTTTGCTCTAGATTATTAAAGGGCACTTGCAATCTGAAATCTGCCTTGCAGATCACCTGCCAGGCAGGATCCGATGGGGCTGGGAGAGTGACTCCCGGATCCCCCCGCCAGCCTTTGACTGTCTGCCAGCTCATCTTGTCAGCATTTTGCTAGGATAAAAGGTTTCCTTGGGAGGATACATTGCTCAGTCTTGCTTTCAAGAGTCTGAAGTTGTCTGTTTCCCTTTAATGCTGATTTAGAGATGTATTTCTGAAGGTAATACGGATGTTCTCTCTCTATGCCTGTCTAGTCCTGATTTCTGTGGAGATCAGTGCTGATTATATGAGGACTTTTGTGCAGCGCCTCCACCTATTCCATAGTTACTGGAATGAAAACAGCAAATTACTTTACAAAGGTCCTTCCTACATCTTTTATTGCTACCGAGAGCCAGCCCTGGCACGAGGGTTTAATTGCTTGAGGGAGGTATAAAAATAGCCATCCACCTTTTGTACTTGGAGAAACAGCAACTGCGCAGATCAGACAGCAAGATTCAGGAGATGCAAAGACACCTTCTGCTGGCCCAGGCAGGCAGGGACCAAGACACCGGCGTCTCAGTCCCCTCCCAGGAGAAGCTTTTGAAGAGCTCCCTAACAACATATATTCCAACTACACATTCTTTCATAAGCAATGACACATCGATCAAATGGACTGGGATGCCAAACTCATATCTTCTACGGTTATTTTTATCTGAAAACCTTTGAAGAGTGCTTTGAAGTTACATCCTGACCTCTAAAACACCGTGGAGCTTCTGGGCTGAAAAACAGGTTTCCTCATGCAAGCGAGCCCCCACTGAAGTCAAGCGGCTGAATTCACTGCAGGGATCAGTGCCTATTGAAATAATACTGCATCCCCACTGCAGGTAACGTTCATAACTCAAGGGTTAAAAAAGCTTTTGCAATAATAGCCTGTTACTTACTGAAAAGTATTAGAGTGAGCAGCAAAGCAGATAGCAATAGCATCTCAATATTTATACACCCCTAACCGTTTGAGGATCAGAAGTTCCTGTGAAAGCAGCTGCAGAAGCTCAGCTCCATAACGCTTCCAGCTCTGCCCGCCCCTGCTAACGGGCTCATGCAGAAAAGGAGACAAACCAAACTCGGGTGATGTTCGCCATGCCTACCACTTCATTTCTGCTCACGCTGCTTTACACCTGCCTTGTTCTAAGACAACACAAATTCCAGCTTTCACCTAGATACTCTGTCCAGATCATCATTTGTCACAAAACCCTAACTACACAACTCGCGTGAGCCGAGTCAGCACTGTGCGATGCTTCGGCGGGAATCATCGCATCACAAATGACAGTCACAGACAGATGCAAAGCTAATTCAATTAGCGCTGTAAACCTCTGGGGTTTCAATCACAAACTAGTACCTGAGTTCACTGAAATCAGAGAATAACAAAAACCCAACCATCTGTAGTGAAACTAACTTGCTTAACACGTTGTCTTTCTGAGCTTGTGCTCATCTCCTGAAATGTAATATTCCTGAATAATTATTTCCTTAGAAAATGTCCCAATAGTTACAACGTATCTTGTTCTTCAACTTCAGTTGTATCAGAGACCGCATAATTACTGCTAGTAACATCACAGAGGTGAGAAAAAAGCACTTATTGCTGGGGAGAAAAAATAAATCCTATCCAGTCTGTGATACAAATAAGCCAATTTTAGTATTTTGCAAGTAAAGCTTCATTTCAGTCAAGCCCATCGGAAAGCAAGTGTTGAGGTTCCCGTGTGTTCCCTGGAGAAGCTGGGAGCCATCCCTTCCTCCTGCAGACCACTGTGGACTTCATTTTTTAACAAACTATCACGCAGGATTGTTGATTTCCTAAGGCAGACTTGGTCCGCACTCTGTGGGAACAGGCTCTGGTTTAGCCTATGAAATACAACAGTTCTCACATCCAAGTTGGAGTTCTTCTACTTTGAAACAAGGACTAACGATGTATTGGTTCAGAGAGAATGAGATATTGACTCATTTGCAATTTGGGACCTTATCTGAGACACGAAGACCCACGCACAACAGGTTCAGTCCTCGTTGGCCACAGCACAGCCCCAAGAGGTGACACTGGGGCAGGCACCGTCCCCAGCAGGGCAGCCCAGCCCAGCCCAGCCCAGTTTGGACTCTGGATCCTCCTGGAGCCCCGGTGCCTGCCGAGCGGCACCCTGTCCCTGTCTCTGCCCAGTGTTGCTTGCAGAGCCTTTCTCTGCCTGGGGCAGACTGGGAACACCTTCAAAATTCAGATCGTTTTCAGGCAATGCGAAAGTTGTTTCCTTGTCAGCTCTACTCCCGTTAGCATTTGCCAGAGGTAGACTGACGGCAAAAACTTTCCAATATGCTTAGCTGTTCAAAGAGGCCTTGCAGCCAGTACTGCCAGGCCTCGGGTTGTGAGCAGCGAGGGTGGATACCACCTCTCATCATCTGCCTCGTCCAGACTCAGGAATATTAATAGCACTTAAAAATAAATAATGGTGATAATGAAAAACCGTAATAGCGTTTCCTTACGATCGTTTTCCCTGCACTGGAGCCCATCAATTTTAATAATAAATTGTAGCTTCCAGCTTGCCAGAGAACAAATGTACACCATGGGATAAAATCTGCTCCAACGTGAGAGTCTATCCAGCGCAGGCACAGAGCCCGGCCAGCTCACGCTGACAAACTGGGGCTGTCCAGCCCAGTGACAGCAGCCAGCGCTCAGCTCAAGTCACGCTCAAAGCAGCTACTCCTGCTTGGGCCAGGTCCTCCTCTGATGCTGGCAAGGGTGTCCACTGAAGTCAGAGGCTCCAGAAACACCAACTGAAACCCTTTCTGGAAAAACACCAGAGCCTGTCTTCAAAACTGTTTATCACACACCTTCGCCTGGATTTTATTTTACATAGCAGAAGATAATAAAAGTAATTTGCGCTGCTGTCCTTCACATGCCCCTGCCTGTGAGCACCATCAGCGGACCCTCTCCCACAGCACCAAAGCCGAATTCGGGCGCTTTGTGGGGTGCTGTGCTCCCCAGAGGCACGCACCTCTCCCACGCAGCGTGCGCCCGCGCTGCCTGCGCACGCTGCCCGCGCTCCCACCGCAGACAGCTGCCTGCTCTTTGTCTCTGCGCTGCCCCCGCTGAGCCACACTCCCTCTGGTGCCTTTTGAAAAAGCCTTAAGAAAGTCTAGTTAAGAAAAAAGCAAAGCAGAGGATAAAGAAAGAGTGACTCTGGCTCTGGCAACACACGTGCAGATATGACAATGTAATATTATCAGTGCCAGAAGGAGCCTTATAAATCCACCGCTGAACTCTGGCCTCTTCCAGTCACTTCCATCTTCCTCTGCCCTGAGCAACGGATATTTTTGACACTTGCAATTCTCCTGATACAGTCCATCAATCTATTTTTGTCTCCCTTTGTTCCTTCTAAGTCGCCTGAGGGATTTGGCCGAGTTAACTTGCCAAACCTTGTAAGGTCTGTAGACCTCACCGCGGCCCGGGTGCCTGTGCATGGTGGTACAGATGTGGGGTCTCACCGCTGCAGCTCCACCAGCTATCACCGCTCTCCTGCAGTGCCCGGCTGCGTGCAGCACGGCGCGATCAGTCCTGCTCCACTGGAGGTGCGAGCAGCATTGTGTCCCCTATAAAAACGCACTAATTGCATCTTTAGGTTGAGACAGCAAAGAGGGTATTTGGCCCACCTGTGATGTGAACTACACTGTTCTGTCAGTCTAAAAGTCAAGATTACAGTAAGCTCAGGTGTTAACCCTGACGCTTGATCTAGTCTTTCATCCCTAGAGGGTGGATTTCGTTTTAAAACCTCAGGAAAAAAAACCCACTGATTACCATAAATCAATTTTTAGGAGCACTTGGTGCGTGCACATGTGCCCAGCTGTATCTGGCAAACACAAATTGTCTTTTCTAAAAACCAGAAGCAAAGAATGAAACTGGTAATACTCCCAATAAACCTGCTTTCTGCTGGACTGTTTTGGTCACATAATAAAATACCACCACAAGTTCTGCTGGCTGCTTTTCTGCAAAATCGGCACCGGATCGGGGGGAACGACAATGGAAAATCCTTCTTGGGCAAACCCTGCCCCAAGCCCTGCGTGGCTAGTTGTGAAGGCAGGGGACCACTCTGTCTATGAGAAGCATAGCTCAGCTGGTGGCCCACCATGTTGCCATCACTGAACACATGCGCTCTCAGACACAGGATGGAAAGTGGCAGATGCTGAGGAAGAAGAAGGTGGATTTAGGAGGTTTCAGACCTGACACTGAGGCCACCGTGCCCTTACACGCACACCGACAGGCTGAGGCAGTGGTCATGTGCTCCAAAGGGTCACACTGCTCACCAGCTGCCAGCAGCAGGTCCCATAGCTCCAGGACAGGCACATGCAATGGCCACGACTGGGTTTTTCACCGTACAAAGTGGCTGAAATGGGAGGAAGGGACCATTACAGCTCCTCTTGGAAGGGAAGTGCACAGTCCCACCAGTGCCTTGGCATGAGTCTTCTCACCCCATGGAGGAGGAAGCCAATGCACACAGTGGGTCTCCACTTACAGGGAGCCCTTTTCCCCTCTGTATCAAGAGCAGGTCCAGACCAGCAATGGGGAGACACACACAGGATAACATCTCCTGCCATGCTGAATTCAGAGCCTGGTTCACACGGAGAGGAGACCGTGAGCTTGCCACCAGTGATGGGATACAGGGCCTGTCACCCTGAGGTGACAGGTCACGTTTCCAGCTCTGGCCTGGGTCACCGCTAACCACAAGCCATTATTACTTGATGGCCATCGAGTGCCCTGTATGAGATGAGGTAGAGGTCTTGGTTCAGCTCCCCGTGAGCAGGTTCACACCATGCTAATGTCCATCGCATTTGACTCATTATTTGAGACCAGTTAGCGCCATGGCTGGAAGGTTGAGCTCGACACTACAGACAAAAAGTCTGTAGGAACCCATTTCATAGCTGAAATGTTCATTTTGGGGAACAAAGAGGATTGGGGATCTCTCATGACTGTGGGCTCAGCTCTGTCTTGTCTGAGGAGGCACTTTCTGTTTGCTTCACATCAGAAGGTAAACTCAGCACTGAGCTCTGGGGTCTTCACCACCACCCTCACTGGACTGGTTTAGTTTTGAGGACTGTCTCATCCTTACTATTGATGAGCATTGTATTTGCCTCAGGCAGGTAGGAGGAAAAAACAACTGCTTTATGCTTCTCTCTCGGACTCCAGTGCGAGATTCCCAGAAAGCAATGAGGAGTTTACAAGCCAACAGCTTTGTTGCTGTGGGTTCAGAGCAGTCATCCTTCCCATGAGTGGGAAAACCCCAAGAAATGATGCAGCCCAGCTCACAAAAAGTGCTGACAAAAGCCCTGCATTTCTGCATGGGCCATAGGAGAGACAAGGAGACATATTTTAGACTGACTTGAGAGAGTTCTCAAAAGTTTTGTGATGATCATCTTTTCCCCCTCCTCTTGCAAAGCCTAGTCTTTTAGCTATCCAAACCTCAAGTGTACAGGACATGTCTTAGAGAAGTAAAAAACCCTTTTAGAATTCTCTCCTTACATGTATCTTCTAATCTCTATTGTGTCAGGTGTATAAAGGCTGAAATCTGCCTCAGTTGCAGTCTGAACTGAGCCCACTGAGACCCTGGGAATCTCTTTCTAAAGCATCTGCTTCTAGTTTTGAAACATCACAAAATATCCAGTAACATTTTTAGAGAGTGAAAACTCTTTGGTGGTACAAGCTAGAGAATATCCTGGAGGCTATTCTTCTGAAGGAGGCTCTACCTTTGGGTGGAAACAGCAGCAGGATTTCCATAGGAGGTTGAAACTGCTTAAGGACTTTGGCTGTCAGAGATAGTCCTAATCACTCTGGCTCCAACAGCTCAGTGGAAGCAAGTAGCCAAAAGTTTATGGTAAATACATGGTGATGATAATATATAATAAAGTGTGATAAGCTCCATCCTTATCATGTGAATAACACCTCTGGAGCGTGCAGAGAGACACACAGATGACAGATCTTTCCTAATTATCAAAAACTTCCTGTTTAGGGGAATATGAGAAGAAGCTAAGGGGCCTATAAGACACATGTTAGCCGAGCGCAGACTTCACTACATGAACTAAAAGCAAGCAAATCTGTTTGGCTTGGATGAGTAACCGCAGGTGCTGTGTGCCATTGACTCTGATACATGGACACTTGGTGGTCCCCTGCACTGCCCCATCCCACCTGTCACTGCCCTGGGGCCTTCGAAGGCACCTGGGAGGTGGGATCCCTCCGGAAAGGTGCTGCATGAGGCAGAGCCTCTGCATGTCAGGGCATCTCGTGGCCGTGTGCTCCCACTGTAGCAGCGGACAGCATTGATGCTGCAAAGGGCATTCCCAAAAAGCTTCAACCCACCGTAGGATAAAGCCATTCACGTGTCAGTGGTGAAAGGCTACGTGGGTCACACAGTCCATTGGTTGCTCCCCAAAACTTTTCCCTTTCAATTGAAGAGAGTATGGGCTATGCTGAGATGTCTGAACCCACACTAAATTATTTCTTATTACTCCTGGCATTGTTCAGCATTTTGCACTTGTCTCTCTGGCGATTTGTATTCTCTCCTATTTAGCGTGCAGGTGTATCCATCTACTCAGAGGGCGTTTGATCTGTATCTTATTTCTCTGCCATGAAGCCCAGGCAATACTCCTCTTTTGTTGTTTCATAACATGAAAAGAGATCAAAATATGTTGCTATATGGGAAGCTCACCGAATGACATCAGCCTGCCAACATATAGATCTCAGCTGAGACTGAATGGTAAACATCTCACTCCTGTGCACTGTATTAAAATGAGTGACCTTAATTTGCTGCCACTGGAATAATAAAGTGAATCTGACTAAGGAGCGCTGACTCAACAGTTTGGGATTCTGGGGTTTACACAAACTTACAGCGTTGATGGATCTGTAACCGCTTGAGTGAGCTGACATCACCACTACAGAATACGTTGCGAAGCGGATCAATCAGGGGAAAGCACCCGATTTTCCTGCGATATCATTTAAAGTAAATGTTAAATTTCTTTAGCTGGGTCTTTAGTTAACCATATTACTGTGACAAATATTTCTTTGTCTAGCATAAGTAATTAGAATTTAATCACTTTAACTGCATCTTAATTACCCCAAATGAATTGAAAGGACATTTAATAGCAAAGATTAAATTGCCTTAATGAACGATTTTTGCGACTACATCAATATTTTAACCGTGTTAGCCCTTCCCTGCTCCCCCCACCCTCCCCAGCGCTGCAGGCAGCCCCCGGCCCCTGGGTGGCGCGCGCT